TAGCGCGAAAGACATCGATACAAAAATAGAACTTCCTTCACCGAAAGTTATTGGTTTCCAAGTAATACTTTATACCATAATATTTAATTTGTTAGAATTGCTGTGTTATTATATCTAATAATATGCAAACATATATCATTTGATATTATATATATATATTATATATATTATATTATATATATATGTGTGTGTGTGTGTGTGTGTGTGTGTGCGTGTGCGTGTGCGTGTGCGTGTGCGTGTGCGTGTGTGTGTGTGTGTGTGTGTGTGTGATGTGTCGAGTGTTTCATAAACTAATATCTGTCTTTCCCCGTCGGCGTTTATATAATTGAAAACTTGATAAGTGAATTATTTACCACGCAATTTATCTGAGCATTGCTTTAAGGCCGTAGATGGAGACGTGGAGATACTGCGAGGCAACCTCAGCCTGTCGGATCGCGCGAGAATTGAATTTGCCGACTTCAAGCCTTGCTATCTCGCGGGTTTATTATGTATTTTGGCAAAAATCGCGCTGGACGTAGATCGTTTTTCCGATCAAACTCTGGACCTATTGATCCTTCAAACCAATAAATTCTATCAAAAAATTGGCAAAGTGTCATACGACGGATTTATAGTACTTGACGAGATAATTGTCTTTGGCATAAGTTTCGACGTTCTTCTGAGAGAAATCGTTCGCATCGATCCTACGAGCGCGCCGTCCGACGAGCTTGATGTGATCGTCGGTAAATTCCTAAGGAAGAATCAAACTTGCATATTAACGTTGGCAAATTGCACCTACGCAATTTGGATGGCGGACAACAGATACTATCTCTTCGATCCTTATCCTTGCGACAAGAGGGGGAGGGCCAACGAGGAGGGGTACTGCTGCCTCATGAGATTCCGCGATTTGCAGTCCACGGTCGAGAGGATTAAAGAAAACGCCGGCGAAACCGTGCGAAAACCTTTCCGTCTTTACACCATGTTAATCGTTCGCATGATGGAAAAAAAGAAACGAAAGAATGCCGTCAAGCGTCGCGCGAAGGTAGAGGTGCCGATGGAAGAATCGATTCGTAGCGTAGAAAAATGGGACGTGACAACGCCGACAGTCGAGACGAAAGTGCCTCTGATCGAATTGGTCGAGTGGGTCACTCCGGATCCGGAGTTGGATCCGCATCGTGACGCCGCGGCCGTCGGTTTCACGCCGATGCGGCACTACGAGGCCTCGATGCTCGAGACGACCGTCTTGGAGAACGACATTACGACGCCGGCGTTGGCACCGTTCGCGACGCCGTCGAAGGACGTGCGGGAAGTGGCGACGATGAAGCGAGTACCAGCCGACGAGAGGATATTTCGTCATTACTCATCCATCGCGATCCCCATCGATCTCTGCGTCATGGCTTGGTCGTTGATTCACGATCCCGCCTCTTGGTCGGAGCGCACCGTCCACGGCTTGATCGAGGCCGCCGTCGATTACGCCCTCGACAGCGCGCTGGTGAACGAGGACACCTCCACGAACGGTATGATCGACGGGGTGCTGCCGGAATTCGAGATAGCGAACTACACGTTCCGGGTGGCGTTCACGCCGCCGCACTACGGGACCCTGTACACCAAGGGGTTGAATCTCGCGAATACGCTCGAGAAGATATTCGAGGCGCAGATTTTCACCGGCGGGATCATCCTCAGCCGTTATACTCACGTGGGTGTCATCAAGCGCGGCAGGAATCACTTCGCCTGGTGGACGGTTACGGGAACGAAGAGATTTAGAATGATCATGACCAGCAACCTGAGCGATTTTCTCAAGCTGATCATCAAGCTGATCGACTCGCCGCATCCGATTCCATTCTCCGCGAAGATGGTAACCATATCCTACGCTCAAGAAATGGCACCGGATTACAGAGACGTGGACGGTCTTCACGAGCCGATGATAACGACGGCGTCTCCAATAGAGATTTACCGGAAAGAGCTTCCGGATTCTTATGACGTCGAAGCGATCTTCAAGCCGATCAGCCTAGCACCGAAATCGATCTTCGTTCTCGGAACGGTAGCTCTTCGCGATCGCGACAGTATGAAAGAGCCGCGGGTAAAACGCTGCTACTTCGTCGCGTTACTGGCTGTCATCATAACGAGAGATATCGTTCAGTCTCCACTTCCGAGCATGATCGACAGGGTTCTCGAAGTGGCAGAGGGCTTGTACAGAGATTTCGCCGAGCCGAAATTTCACACGGAACATGTCTTGCGCAATGTTCCGCTGATGAACAGGCTCTTTGTTCTTCGTGACTGCGCATCACCTTTGGTCGTGTTGACGATAAATTCTCAGAACGGCAGAAATGATTTTTACGTACAAGTAAGCGCCAAAGACAAGAGAAAGAAAATTATCCTTCCTCTGTCTTCTTATTTCTTTTATAAAAATTGAATTAATGCTCCGATTTTATTTTTTATAATTTTATCTGACATCATTTATTTTTTTTTATTTTGTAATTTTCTTTCTACTAATTGTGTATTTTAATGTATCCTATCATAGCTCTATTTATTAAAAGAATTTAATATAAGAATTTTTAAAAATAATCTTATATTTTTATTTTTTTTATATCTTCGATTTCTTGTTTTGTTCCCTATTTTATTTATATTTAATATTAATAAAGTATATTTTTAAAATTATTAATTTTTATTTATTTATATGTATTTATTATAAATTATTTGTCTAATAAATAAATAAATAGTTTAGATTTCAAATCTATTATTGACTATCGTTTATTAAACATTAACAAAGCAGATTTTTGAAATTATTCTACTCATTTTTATTTATTATATTTACATTTATTTATTATAATCGGTCCTAAAAATTGAGATTGCATTTAGAATTTAGTAATTTAACTAAATTTTAGAATTAACTAGTAATTTAACTAAATTTTAGAAAACTAAAATTAAATTAACTAAATTAATTTAACTAAATTAATTAATCGAAGCTAGTAATTTAACTCTCAATAGATAGTTTTAATTTTTCAATATTATTGTATTGTACATTGTTATTATAATGGTTGATTTAGGTGAAACAGCACCTGAAACACTACTTTAACATGCATACGAGCGGTATACTGCACTTTACTAACTGCTGCTACGGTTTTTGGTACTCGAGAGCGACCAACTGTTATTACTATCTGGATCCTTATCAATGCGACGCGGGAGGCAGAAAGACTTCCGCTAACGGCAACGCCTGTCTGTGCATCTTCTCCTCCGTGCCTCACATGGTGAAGCACATGTGCCTCAAACAGTCCGAAGGCTCGACTGGATTCTTCATCCACCGAATTCATGTGAATTCCATTGACGTGCTGCCATCCGAGAAGTTTCAGGAAGATCCAATGTGGCTCTACCTGGACTACTATTGGAACTTCACGCATTCGATCATGAGATCGCGTAAGAGGACGAAGCTCAGCGACTGCAGGACGGACCTGTCGAAGATCGATCGGCGATTCTGGAAGAACTACGCGATCGAGGTGATCGGTCTGATCTACTCCGTCTGGGGCACGATCGGCGCGTACGATCGTCAGTTCGGCGAGCGTGCCGGGAAGAATCGCGTCGCCATATGCGTGGCCGTCTTCGCCATGCAGAATCTCTGCCGTCCCTCGCAATGGAGCCCGGCCGTCCTGGACTCGGCCGTGATCTGCGGAGACTCCTACTACACGGAGAGCCTGAAGAGTCTGATGCAATGCTCGAAGCCCGAGAACAGGTTCGGCCTGCAGACCTCCTTCAAGATATTCCCGCACTCGTGGAACGTGGATTTCGGCACGAGCGTGTACGGGGTTCTGTATGGCGAACGGAACAGACTAACGTTAACCGACGCGCTGATGCTGGCCTTCGAGGAGGCGCGCAACGTTATCATCGAGTGCAACGGGATCGCTCTGGCCGCGCTGGCGGCCAAAGACGCTTATTACATCGCCGATCCCTGCTGGATCGGCCCGCCGCTGTTCAGGAGGAATCGCGGTGCGATCTACGTTCTACGTTGCAGAAACACGAACGTTCTGATATACGCGATCACGAAGATGTTCAACACCAATCAGAGACTCGGCGTACGCGTCACGCCGTTGAGCCTCGCGTTCGATCGCGAGGACGTCGACGCGGATCTCTGTACCAAGGGGAGGACGATCCTATCGAGGTCGCTGCAGATAGCTCCAGGAAAGATTGAAGATCCCGGCGGGCTCGTTCCCGGAGCGGTCACGGTGCCCGACGAGGATTCTTACCGGCAGTATCAACGGCGCCTCGCCGAGGGTCTTAGTATCAGAGATCCCCGGCTGGAGAGTCTAGAGCTTCGTCGCGCGGGACCCGCGCTGAGTCCCGAAACTGCCGACAACGCGCTCAAGAGCACCAAGTGGCGTCTGAATCTCGGCCAAGCGCGTTCCCGGAAAAGTCCCATGCCACGCGTGGACTCCATCGAGACGAAAGATAGCTTGTCGACCGATTCTCCGACCGATCTGCACGAGACGCGAATTACCGTTACGGCCTCGATTACCACGGGCGACCATTATTCAAAGCAGAGAGATTCGTCAGCGACGAGCCTCCGTCCGGAATAGAGTCGCAGCAGGGGCGTCGCGGAAGATCTATTGTAGTTATCGGCATCGTTTATCCAAAAAAACGAGAGAACCGCACGTCCTCAGATCGCTGCAGACAAGAAGTCAGAGTCGAGAGCACGCCGGAGACCTATATAAAGAATAGAACGACGCAAAACGTATGACGTAAAATGAGAATCGAAAGCGACGTTGGAATCTTGGTAATCGAAGAACGAGGATTGAAAGTGATTGAAGAACGAGGATTCTTCCAGAAGTCGATTAGAAGCATAAATAGATATTAAAGACGTTTTTCTTCTTACTGACGCAACGACGGCATGATGATGGAGGGCAAAATACGTTTGATTGCGATCTCATGCGGTTAGATATCAGCATTATGCAAGATCGATCCGTTTGGAAATCTACCGAGGTTCTTGTGATTTTTACTCATGAAAATAACACCTGCATGGGAAAAACTTGATTAAGGAGTCAATAAATAGAGGAAAAACATTTCTAGGACATTTCCATCTATTACGAAACTATTATCTTTTTATACATAAATTAGCACTACCGCGCATAAATTAACACCTGATATTCAATTTATGTTTGTAGGAATTATGTATAATATATGCATTAGATGACACGCAATTTTATACGTACATATATAAAATTAATAAGTGATTAAAGCATAAAACCGTTATTGAATAATTATTAACAATATTAGAAATTTATAATTTTTACAAGAACGATAAATCGCAATTTATCCTCATCAATTTACATTTCATTATATTTTATTATTGCAATAAGCTAGCTCTTTACCGATTTCTAAATCATTTTCAACAGAAAGAATACTATATACATAATTAAAGAAATTAAATTGTCATTTGTCACATTTTTTCGAAATAAAAATAATTATTTTAGAATTAGGAAAGTTAGAAAAATTATGAAAGATTTAATAAAAAAAACTCAGGTTTTTACGAAAGATTTTAATAAATAAAAGAAAAAGAGAGAAGTAAATGCAAACTTGAAATTTCATACAATTTATTCACATTTATTTTACGCTTACATCTGTTTATATTAAAATAAATGCGTAAAAAAAATTAACCAAAGATTAGTACTGGACGGCGAAAGACGCTTGAATCGACATAATCGTAGGTTTTATACCCAGAATACAATCGAACTAACGAAATTTATAATTGACTTATGCCTAGATTTATATATTTATCGATTAGTTTAATTAGGTCATTAGTTTAATATAATAATATGTTAAACCTAAATTCTTGTAAAAAGTGATACACACTTATAAATTACAAATAATGTAAGATTGTAATACATAATAATCATATAATTTATTAGCAAAGATTTGTCGTGTATATTCAATTAAAAAAAAATAATGGCCTAAAAAAGATATATATATATATATATATGTATATAAAATTTTTAAGCACATTAAACTTTGCAATATAAAAATGACTTCGCTTAATAGTCGTTTCTGCAGCTTCACTTTGATGATAAATGTCTTTCCATGTTAATTTCCTTTTTTTCATGTTATATTTTTAGGACATTCCTAAATTTCCAAATTTTATTTAAGTGATTAAATTAAGTGGTCCAAACGACTTTTAAGCTTGTACGCGATACGATTATTATCATTACGCTTATGCATTATTTAAGTGGACAATAACAGCATTAACGATAATATTTAAGTACGTTTAAGCACGACAATTAGGATAAAGTCGCGATAGTCATATATATTTAAATGAAAAATTTTCAAAAAAAAGGAAGAGGTATGTGGTACTCTCATAGTTTTTTCAAAAACAATTAGTTAATATAACAAGGTTCCAACGATAGAAAAATTTCAAGTGAAATTGTTCAGCTAACTCAAAATTAGAAATGATTGGACGGCCAAGATCATACCTTCCATAAAATTCTCACCAATAAAATAAAATTTAAAAAATGCAAATTACGAAAGAATGACGTTACTTATTTTTAGCAGTAAAGTAATGTCATTTGCATTTTTTATCTATTTTGAGATGCGTTACGAATTTATAGAGCAATCGCGCGTCGCAATGTGTCACGATCTTCTCGGTAGTTCCAGTTAGATTAAAGATTCTCTCCTTGCTCCCGAATTTTCGATAACGATCGTATCGCGACGGACGCGTGGCGATCGAAGAACAAATCGGAGCACCGATGCGTAAAATTACCTAATACCGTACAACAAATTATCACACGTACGGAGACATGTAATCGCGGGGTTTTGAGGAACGCCGACCGTGTCCACTTTTTCGTGTATATGCGAACGCGTAAACGATCGTGATAAATGCAACCGGAAAATCAGTAATGAGTAACGCCTCGAAATATTTTTCAGGTTTCAAAAATTGTCTCTCCATTTTATTTATTTTTTTTCGCTCTCTCGGTAGAAAAACATTGATTTTGCGGAAAAATGAGACGTTGTTCTAGAACGTAAAAAGGGGATACGCCACACGATCGTCTTCTAATTTTTTATCGCTTTTACGGAGACGCAATTTATTTGTCCTTGTTGTCGGCTGCTTCCTCGGTTTCTGGTTTCGTGTACAAGATTTCAGCGTACTCCGTTTTGTCCTCGTTAACTCGGCGAGGTGCGACACCTTGCTGCTGTTGCGTAAGATCCAATTCCGCGTACACTATTCCACCCTCGCCTGTCGGAGGATTCGTTCTGCCTTCCTGCGCGGCCGGCTCAACGGTTGGAAGCTGTATATATTTTTTTTTTCAAATTATACATGATAAAGTTGATAGACGAGCTCACGAGAGGAAAATAGAATTTTAATTGCGCGTATACATAATGACATACATTTACGTTAAAGTGATTATTCTGTAGAAGAATTAGATTCAATAATAAGTTCTCTTTATACTCAAGCAAGACAATTAATGTTGTCACATTAATTTAATGTGACAACTTTATATTTATATCAAGACAGAATGTTTTCAAATAAAACAGAAAAATGATTTTTACATAAAGATATATAATTTTTTTACTTCAGATAAAACAAAAAAGTGTTTAATAAAATCATTATAATAATCTACCGTATATTCGTGTATATATTTATTGTATGTACAGGCAAGACCGTGACATTTAGATTTATAAATTATAACACAAAACAGACACGTTATCTCCTTTCTAATTAAATTATTTTCGATTAGATATTTCTTAAATAATTTAAAATTTTTTTTCAAAATTTTACACAAAAAAAGTTTGACATAATTGCTCATAATTTAATTTTCAGCATTTAATATTGTTATAATTAACGTAGAAGATTTTGGCTACGCAAAAGTTTATTTTGCCTTGCTAATTACGGTAATTAACTATTAATATATAACTTTTTTAATTTTCTTTTAACGTATAGCATCGTAAAGACATCGAATTCACTTAAGAAATGAAATAATAATAGGGGGCAATAACAGGGGGTAATAAGAAAAAGTGAAGGATAATGAATAAGTCATCCACGTGAAAAACGGCGTAATTACCTTCTCGTCGTCGACGGTAACGACGGTCTTCATGGTGTCCGTATCGGCGCCGGACACTTTATCTTTGTTCCTTCCGAAGAGTCGGGACAGATTGATCCTCGGTCTCCGTTGTCCTCGGGACGACGCTCCGTCGACCTCCGATCGGGAATATCTGCCGGCGCTTTCTGTGTCACTTCTAAGTACATAATACGTATAATGAAGAGAGAATTCAGATGCCCCTTCCAATATTACGACACACGTCCCGCCGACATGATCACGCGACAATAATTTCACGAGAAAACAAAACGTCAAATACTTATACGCAGCGCTTATAGTGTTAACTTTTCGATATCACAGAGGATATTAATATAGGTCTTTCGTTTTGCGTCGAATAGTTATTAATCCCAATGTTATACAAAATTATTGCGTGTGTATGTGTGTATATGCGCGTGTGCGTATCGTGTCTATTTTTTTTTTAGTTTAGCGGATGAAATTAATAAACATATGAGATTAATAAATGTACCGTTCAGAATGTTTTTTTCCTATAGTTATCATATACATGCATAAATTGTACATGATATGTATGTGATTAACCCGTATCTTCGTGTCAAGTACGACCGATTAGTTAAGTTATTGCAACAGATCTTCTTTAATTTTTTTTTTGCTCTGCAATTTGCTCTGCTTTGTTTCTTCTTGCGTGGTATACAAATGCGAATCCGTAATTGGAACGACGATTAAAATCATTGAAAAAAATGAACGCATTGTAAAGTGCTTAAGAGAAACGTGCTACTTTATCAAATGATTTTTTTCCTTCGATTCATGAAAAAGATACGCCGCGTTAGATACTTTAGATTATGACTCGCGCGAATCTCTCTCTCTCTCACACGCGAACGGGAATTGTAAACATTAAGTGAAGTTTTTAGAAAGCGTCACGTAACGTGGCGAACGATGTGATAATAGACACCATTTCTCCGCGCGCGTCGCACGCGCGCGTGATGCAATTGATTATCCAATGAAACTTAACGGCACATTAAAAAATTAATTGTGACTTAGCGTAGCGTTAGTCGTTTAGATGCATTCAGGAGATTTTACTTCCGAGAGAGTTACAACATATAAGCGCCGCGGATTAACACAGATTATACTACATAAATTTGTGACAAAAACACTGGGACAAAGCTGCACGCACATACAAATTGGACGAAGCACGCACACACAAATGTCTAGTTCTCACGCTCGAGATTACAAAAAGGGAAAATATCGTGTGCAAGCGGCCTTGATCATTATAAATGCGATCCACTAGAAAAATGCAGGGGAAGGGGACCGGGATTCGCATGTCATAAGCACAGCGACTACATGCCACGCGCTGCACCACGAGCGGCGTTTTCTTTCTACGTTCTGTTTCCTTGCCAACCAAATTATCGTCTTTTTGCTAAAGATAGATACTGCGTAGCACAGCAGCCGCCTTGCTGGCGCGTCATATCATCTTTTTTTTTTGCACACATGTATATTTTCTTTTTCATTTTCTTTACGCCTTTTTATATAAGTAACCCGACTTGTTGGAAATCTCGTACGTATGAGCAACAAAGTTACTGCTACCATATTTGTTGTTTTCTTACTCGGGGGACTCACGAACTGTGAACTTGCGTCATCGAGGAAAAAAAAAACGTGCGCGACGATAGTAATTAGTTGTAATTTGAGTGACAAGTGTGTCAGCGTGTTTTTCCAGATTTTTGCAAACGATAAACGTCGCGAGATCGTATGTAGGAAGCGCCAAGATCTTTGCGAATGAAAGAATCCTCTATTCCATTACGGATAACGTTGTGTCGTTTCGATTTAGCATTTTACATCTTCTTCTTACGACCTTCACATGCAACGAGATAGAATTATAAAAGCAAAAGTGGGTCACACAATAAAAAGATTTTCTTATCGCGGCTGCATGGAATAGGGGAAATCGGCCTGATTTCGAGTTTTAATTGCCTGATTATGTTTCGCAGTAACACACGCGATTGCGTAAAGCACGACACGCAAAAGTTCGCCCAGCAACATTCTGCGCTAATTTAACCTCATTTTTTTGTTTTTGTTTATCTCATTGATACGCGGGAATTAGGTCACGTTATATTCAGATCGCTTATAATTATAATGCAGGCCGTCTGTGCAGCCGGCATTCAGCGTTGTAAGGGATCTGCAATAGATTTTCCAATCAACCTTTTTTTTATATTCTTAACAATTTTAATTTGTACCAAGTGCGCAGTGATTTTTTAATTGTGATATCAAAAATGAAAAATAATACCGGACTTATTCCCGCGACGTGTATTAATAACTGCAACGAAATTGATTAATCCTCTCGTACTGCTTCTTTCGGTTCGTGAGCTAATAAGAGGTTTTAATCTATTGTCACGTAGGATTTATTTTTGCCGGTAACACGATGAGACGAGGAACAGTTCCCAGTTTGATCAAATTGCGCAGAAAACGGGCGGCGAACAATACTTTGTTGGCCGCCGCCTTTCCGGGCAATTTAATCCAATTCTGTCCGACGAGTAAGAAAAGCGAGCGCGTCGACGGACACATCCGACATTGCGAGACGAATAAAAATAAGAAAAAGCTGCTGCTTGCCTTTTTCTAACGACATCGGCCGTAGTTTTCGATTTGCCGAGGTGAAGAAGACTAACGCCCGTCGCTGGGTCCGCGAAGTCTCTGAAAATGTGCATGCTTGGCAAAAGTCTACGGAACGACAATTCGTCGAGTGACGGAAAAGAGCGACGAAGAGAGATCTTACTTCGTCCCTGAATCGCGTCACACGGCTATTAATTAAAAATTAAAGCACTACGAAGAATGAAGTATTAGTTGATGCCGGATGCGAGTGTAGATATTATAAGCGAGAGTGCGATAATGTGTAGATTTTGGATATGTAAACGTATCGTATAATTTCGATATACTCACGACTCCCCGAGATTCCTGGTAGACGAACGACCTGAAAATATCAAGGACAAGTTTTGTTTTAATTGGATAATTAAATATACGAAATTCTTTCCTAATAAAAACATTAAGAGAAACCAGATATAAAATTATAGTTAGCGTGCATGCTAACTATAATTTTATATCTGATGATCTAACTCGATTAAAAATTTGTAAAAACTTAAATGAATAATTTTTAGAGATGTTCATTGTTAGTTAAGTTATGTGCTTGTTTCCAAGATTAATATTGTCGAGTATAGTATTTAAAATTGTGTATATAGCTATTAATTGTTATATAGCTATCATCAATCGAATACAATCGAATTCAATATTATTTTATTTTGCATAACACATAATTAATATTTTTTTTAATTATTTTTTACGATTAAAGAATTTACTAACTAAAGACATTAAAAGTAGAAAGACTTTATACGTAACTAATTCGAGGAATTTATGCTTTAAAACCGTAAAGTCTTATATTTGAATCAATTGGAAGGTTATCACAGATAAAAAATTTATCTTCACTTTTCTTATCTAGCTAAAAGACATCATTGTCAATAATGTGACATGAGCCATCAACTCCTTAACGCATGATTCAATCAGTCAGCATGATTCAGATGCAGTCTTTTTCTTTAAATAGCTGCAATTGAATGTTATGACTACATATGTCATCTCGAACATCTCTTAACTTATAATATTATAAATAAATCTCTTCGCATTCATTAAATATAAAAGATAGATGTAGATTTAAAAAAAAGCATTATTAACGTCGCAATTTATAGTTTAAAGATTAATTATCAAGCTATTTTAGCTTGTGAAAGAATCTATTTTGCTTTATTTAAAATTCCAAAAAGTTACAATAAAAAGTTTATTAAAATACTAAAAATACTAAATAAGTTTAACTAAAGTAATGGTAGGACGACACATCTCTCAACATTTATACGTATATTTAAAACAAATGTTTTATTTCAAAAATCATACGATATATCTAAGTATAATATCATAGCGACGAATGAACTTATAATTAATTATACATACAGCTCTCTATATATTAATTTCATTTGAATCCTTAGATATACTTTTCTCGCCTATCGCATTGTATCTACAGGTAGAGATACAAAATGTTTATTCGCTTCTCGCGCGGTCGCGGCGTGGCTAGCCCTCATTCCCTCAATCGCGACTGGCATAACGTCGTTTTTTTAAACCGTTTTTTCTTCTGCCTGCTTAATTAGAGAGTCAGCGATCTCTGGACTGTTCCTGAAACCGATCGCCAACGGCGCCGCTTCGATTGGGCCCTTAAATCGGAAATGACGAGATAACGATGTCGCGCAGACGCAATTTTCCTCGCGGCGGTCGTGACCGCGATTTTCGATCGCGCGCGGCATTTAATTAGCTCCTAGAAATGCTTCAAAAGAGAAGAGAACACCAATTGCAGGTATTTATATAATATATTTCGCGAATCCGGCGCGAATCGGCGCCGCCATCGCGTTCATCATCTTACCTCTATAGACTTATGTTTTAACATAAATATATCTATATAATATAATATATATAGTATATATATACCCCATTGTATGGCCAACGATCATGCTCCTTAATAACGTATGTCATCCTTTCGATAATATTACGAATTTTACAAATGTTCATTCAATCTCCAGTTGTCACAGGGCAACGAAAAAGAAAAACGCGATCGAACGCAAATGGGTGTGTGTATGTGTGTGTATATACGCGTTACATTTGCACATTTTCGTATGTACTGTATATATACACGTTCGTATATATGCACCTATATATATATATAAATCTTGAAAGCATGATCATCGAGATTTAAGTCGTACACATCAAAAGTAGATATACAAAAGTAGGTTACATTAAAATTAATTAATTATAAGAATTACGCAATGTAAACGTATTAATATCGATAAAACGTATTAAAACTTATTATATAGGGAGGTTTGTACGCAAGTGGGTTTCGCGTAAATAAATCATTTCACCGTCTCCTTTCTCTTTTTCATAGTACAACGACGTAATCGTGTTTAACAATCTCGCCGCGATCGGAATAAATCGAGATAAACAGCGCAATATCGGAATGGATTCGCAGTCTACGACGATACTTGCGTGCTCACGCACTCTGTAAACACCGATAAAATTTATGAAAGCGGAAAGTGGGTGTCTCGCGATTCAAGTTGTCGTTCTTACCGAGAGTAGAAACATGTTAGTGTTCGTAAACTTATATTTAAGATAAAGACTGTACGCGATATTTTCTCTTATGGCATTTCGTAAATATGACAAAAAAGTTCTAGCGGTATGTAGCGGTTTTTTTTTTTGGCAGTGATCTTCGACGTTGTTCTTGCTACTTCCGGCCTTATGTTCGACCTTATCTAATCTTGCGGATTTCATTGAAATTCATTTCTCACGGTAGCCTTAGGTATAGCAACAGCGACTGCATCAAACCGATAATTTACAGATAAAAACCGGAAGAATTCGCAGACACAAAATAAAAATTAGATAAAAGAATAAATTATTCAGCCTCTCTTTCCTGTCTTTTTAGATTAAGCTGCAATGAAACGTAAATCAATTTATTTTTTTTTAATACTTAAGTTCAGTGAATTCGCGGAAGCTTTAGAAAAAAATCCGATAAGATTGTTACGATAGTCTTCGCGGAAAATCTTTGTTTTGCTCTTCTACAAGGATATTCTCTCAATAATTTGTTTACCTTATAGTCTTCAATTATATCGATTCGCTGTTACTATACGCTTGAGAGTGTTTGTGTGTGCCGAGAGCGACTTTCAATTAATAAAAGTTCCCCGATAGAGCCCCGAGTCCGAGAAAGAGTCTCGATAATAGCCGTTTGCTCGCGCGTTTCATTCTTCGATAGTGAGAATTATACCTATCCTAAGACGGAAAATTGAACGTTTATCCGTTTTCGATCCGTTGTTCTCTCCTCGGTGCCGTTCCCTTTTCCCGAGGGGAACGACGACTACTTCTCGCCTGTATTACGGAGTATTGTAAAACATTTAAAAATCGGATGTGACCACATGCATTACTATGTATATAAAAAATTCGGGTGGCCCTAAAACGTTGCTCTTGTGTTCGCACTCGCTGCAACAAGATCGTCGCGATGCGCGTGAGAGGATATACAGAAACGCCGCGTTATCTGCCTCCTATCATGTTTCTTTTTTTCTTTTTTCTTTGTTTTTTTTTTTAGGTAAACGCACGATTTTTCCCCTTTCCCCGTTTATTAATTAATTAATTTATTTTTCTTTTTAGGCTCTATTACATATATTTAACATACTGACATTAGTATACATAATATATATTACCGTGATTATACATATATAATGCATAAATTATACACATATATATTTATACTATATATTATATATTATATATACTAACAAATCGATATATTCGGGATGAAAACTGACGCGAGACAGCCTCTGTGTGTGACGGCGCGCGAGTAACGGGTTGGCCGGCCCCGCGAACGAGGATCACCGCGCGGTCTGTCAGTAACTCGCAAGCACAACAACCGACGTCATTCTCTCCTCCCTTCCGCAGTATGTATCTTACGACACTTTCCTCCCTCCGCTTCCAATATCGCTGGAACTTTGAGGAATGGAGAAATAGCGGACGAAACTTTTGCCATATATATTCTTGAAAAGTACAGATAGTATGCGGGAAGGGGAAACATAAAAAGACGAGCTTATGACCGTGTATAGGGCGATGCGAGAAAGGCGGAGGGATAAATGACCTGTATAACCGAACGCATTTCCCTCGCATTTTACTATGCGAGTCATAAGGACATGGCTTGTACTCTTTCGGATGTAGAACGCGGCAGAGAGAGAGAGAGAGAGAGAGAGAGAGAGAGAGAGAGAGAAGAAAAAGAAGAATAAAGAGAAGTGACGTCGGTCATATCAGCTCCAAAATACTGACAAAATTATTTATCCGTTAATAATCCGCGCCCTTTCGTTACGTCTTCCCCCATGTGCGCGCGCGCGCGTCGTCCTTTCGTCTCTTTTTTTTTTCAAACAAGTTCTATCAACTCCCGTTAAGTAAATCTCACATTTTCTCTCGATACCCCCCCCCCCCCTTCTCGATAATATCTTTCACCCTGAAAAAGTTTCACGGATAACGACAGGTCGACCCGGCAATTGGAGTGCAAGCGCGGATATAAGTGTGTCACTCGATCGGCATTCACGAGTTGCAAGCCAAGTGCCTCCGACGTAGAATATATAATACCGTTCTTTTCTTTTTTTTGTTTTTCTTATTCGCGATCTCGTACCGTTATATTTATAATATATATTTATATTTGTAATATATATATATCTTTATTTATATTTATATATATATATATATATTTAGAGTATGTACAACACGCAGTAAAGATTCGACCGTCTCCCGACCGACAGGCTGCATCGGCGGTTCTCCTTCATCGAAACTCGCCTTTGCCTCTCCTCCCCCCCCC